GTGTGAGTGTGTGGTGTGTGGTTATGTGTGTGTGTGCTATGTGTCCATGAGTGTGTGTGTGCTCTGTGGAGTGTGTGTGGTGTCTGGTTGAGTGTGTGTGGTGTGTGGCTATGAGTGTGTGTGCTCTGTGGAGCGTGTGAGTGTGTGGTATGTGGCTATGAGTGTGTGTGTGCACTGTCTAGTGTGTGGTGTCTGGTTATGTGTGTGTGGTGTGTGTCCATGAGTGTGCTCTGTGGAGTGTGTGAGTGTGTGGTGTGTGATTATGAGTGTGTGAGTGTGTGGTGTGTGGCTGTGCTGAGGCTGGGGCCTGCCAGACATGGCGGAAGGTGTGTGGGATGGGAGTGGGGAGGAGCTTTTGCATCATGTGTGGCGGAAGTGAAACCTTGAAAACATCCCGTTAGGTTGTTAAGACTAAGAGTTAGGGTCTGAGGACTGCTGGGCAGGAGCTGAATGTTTGGAGTTTGAGGGGATCAAAACCCCCAGAACCGGGCCTGTTCCATCTACCTACCGCTGTTGCCCTTGGGTCATGGGGGTTGGGGCCCAAGGGAAGACTGACTGCTGGTGAAATTGTGAAGTTTACATTTCTTACATCCTTATTTTCTCCTCTTTTTTTCTCGTCTAAACTCAATTTCTCCTTTCTGACTCACAGGGCTACCATGGTGCCCTGGCACTCCTACTCCCAGGGGAGCGTCTGCCAGGCTGGAGCACACCATGGGGCAAGGGAGTCAATGGCCCAACACCCTCTAGAGGCCAGAAGGGGTGAACCTGATGGAAAACATTCACAGCCCCTCAACAGTGGGTGGAGGGAATAAATAATGCCTCATTGGAAAGTGTAAGTCCTTGAGGTGTGTTCATTCACTCTCTATGATGACCTTTTAGCTTGGGCTCTGCCATCCTCCCTGTGTTACAGATGGGCTAAGAAGAACATTTCTCGTAAGGCCGTTGTGAGGATCACATGAGGTAAGTGTTACAACGGACTCAACACACAGCCTGCAATGTGGTCAGAGTGCAGTGGAGATCAGCCGCCGCCACTGCGGGGAGGTTGCTGTCATGGGTTCTACTTGGTTATTGCATTTCTCTGCTTTCATCTCCACATGGCTGGGTTAGAAGGGCCATTTCCAGGGCCTTCCCAAACTGAGGGTCTCCATCCTCAGGTGGTCCTCTCCGT